TATAATGAAGCATAGCTACTTAACGTTATATTATTTAGAAGTTCAAATCAATGTTTGTATTTTGAAAGACTATTTAAATGATTAAATTCTATTTTTTACTCAATTTACTGTCGTTTGTTGACACTGCTTTATTTTTGTGTGTGATATTGGCTGTGAATATCTGTGTGTAGTTTTTTTCCCTTTCATTTAGATAAACCAGTTTGATGTCCTTGTCTAAACATGTCCACATACAAATCACTGTGAAAAAAGTGAGATCTTCCACTGTCTGACGCAACGGGGAGTGGATTATTGTAGGTGCTTTGTGTTGTGTAATAAATGGACACACCTCCACCACACATCATCGGTCTCATCTCTCCCTGTGTGTATTTATGTATGGGTGTTTGTGTGTGTATTGGATGGGGGACTGTTAAAACTGTCAACTTCATAATTAAAACATTTTTGACCATGCAGTGCACATATCACATTTGGACAATCTTAATTGATGTTGAGGAGCATACTTCACATAAAGCTCCAGCATGCTGCCATTATAAACAATTTTCTCCATGTGTTTGTGTATTCATTTTAAAGCAACTTCTTGCAAGGCATTTGAAGTTTTAACCTACATTATCCTGTCAAGTGTGTCTGTGTAGGACTGCTGACTTGTGTGCTGTGTTCAAGCTAAGGTAAATAAATAGGACTTCGAAAAGAAGAAAGAAAATAAAAGTCATCTAAATCACTGGATATATAGATTATTTGTTTATTTAAAATGACATATCAACAGTGGTGCAATTAACTAATTTACCACACATAAGAATACCTTTGAAATACTTGTACTTCACTCAAATATTTGCTTTTTATAATGCTTTATATACTTGTACTCCACTAATATTCAATAGGAAATAGTGTAAGTTTTATTCCACTACATTTTATGTGACGCTCAAATATGATTCAGTAGGCCTACTACACTGCTTATTCATCTATAGTTGTAGTATTTAAAACTGGCTCCACATTAGACAACATGAAATCGCTTTTTAATGTGTGTTAGTGATAAAAAAAAAACTGAATAATATAGCATTATTTGTCTTTGATAGTTTATGCATTGATACTTTCAGTGCATTTTCCTGACAATACTGGACTCTAGACTTTTACTTAGACCTTGATATACCATGGCATTTTCTATTTAAACTTGTGTTTCTAGTACTTCTTCAACACTACAGCACATGTATTAGTCATTTACATTATACTTGGCTTTAGCTAGCAGATGGCCCATGTAAATACAGGTTTAACAGGCCCAAATCTGTAAACTAGGTTAAATCCCAACAGCCAAAGTCAATGTGGGACACTGCTGTAGGTTAACGGTGTGGTAAGGTTTAGTGACAGGCAGCTTGAGGTGTGTGTCTGTCGGACAGCAGGAACGCAGAACAGGAACACCATACGCAGGACTCCATACAGGAAACTAAGGCTAGCTGGTTAAATAGCGAGCCGTAATGCTTGCCATTACACGCACTATCACCAAGAGCACCCGTGTCCTCCAGTGCGTCAAGCTCTTACACACTTCTCCCGTTGTCAACATGCCGATTCAGGTAAGTCCTGCATGGGGTTAGCTGCATGGCTAGTGCAAGGACGTGAAGGGGTCGTTGAAATGTACTGTAGAATGAACTAAACTGCACGACAATGCTCCGTCCTTCTCTGTGTAACTCGCTGTGCTGACGGTCTCTCCGAAGCCCGTCGCCATGACAGTCACGAGCTAGGATTTAAGCAATTTGTTTGATTATCACGACTGTCCCCACTCCCCGTCCTCTCGGTACTTCGCCAGTTGCTTTCTCTACATATGCTGGTTATTTGAATGAAGCATAATGCTAACAGTAAATTATTAACGTAACACTAGCTGTCGGGCACACTACCCCCTGCCTTTTATACAGAGACGCACGGAAACTGATATCACTTTTTTAAGACCAGTGAAGTTAAAATTAGACTTGCGTTGCCCCGTCTTGCCTCCACAAAAACTGTATGTTTTAAAAATATTCCAAGTTAAAAGTTCCCTTACAACTGGATTATCCGAGTGTGCCTGAACTTCACAGCTGCTCTGTATACATATTGTTTTATTAAAATATCTTTAAGGCCATAACTGAAGTGTATATTGTGTTTAATATCTTGTTGGAAATGCGTTTTATGTGTAAATGATTAATCCGTCACTGTTGATGTTTTCAATAGTTAAGGCAATCGGCCATTTTAATGCGACACGTCTTTATGTGGTAATGTGGTAATGTGTCGACCTCTAGCGGCAAAAGCCAATATTTGCTATTCATCATTTTCTAAATCCCCTTCCAATCTTAATTAGTAGCTTTATTGCTTTATAGTAGGCTACTGTTCCATGATTTACATTACAGAGTTATCAGCATTCAAGAAGTCCAAAGCATTACAAAATAGCTATGCTTCATTTAAGTGTCTTTGCGTCACTACAGTCACTACATGACAATTTGCTGGTCATTAGCTGGTAGGTAATTGTGTTGATGGTCATTTGAGAATGTGGGTCTACCTTCTTTCATGTTTTTCTTCTCAATCCCCATCAGGTTGGTGAATCTCTCCCTGCAGTGGAGGTCCAGGAGGGGGAGCCAGGGAATAAGGTGTCTATGGATCAGCTCTTCAAGGGGAAGAAAGGAGTCCTCTTTGCTGTACCTGGAGCTTTTACCCCTGGTTGTTCCAAGGTGGAGTCCACACTTTCATCCCTGTTAACTGTGTGTTGTGCACAATTCCCTTTCGCATCAGGCAGCTGACGTTGTCTTTGTTTTATGCTTTCAGACTCACCTTCCAGGTTTTGTGGAGCAGGCTGCGGACCTGAAGAGTAAAGGTATGCAGGAGGTCGCTTGCATCTCTGTCAATGACGCATTCGTCATGGCTGCCTGGGGAAAGGAGCACGGAACAGATGGCAAGGTATGGAAGACAATGTTTTTGCAATCAGCTTCTTTTTTTTTTTATGACCTCAAGTCAGATCGTGAGATACCCAACAACAACATCTCCTCATAATAAACTGCACACAACTTTTTGGTGACAAAAAAAGCCTCATTATCAGTAGTCCGGCAGTGGCTCAGTCAGTAGAGGCTTGGACTATGAGCCGTAGGGTCGCCGGTTCAAGTCCCAGACCAGACCTAAATAAGGAGTGTGGACTGGTACTTGGAGAGGTCCCAGTTCACCTCCTGGGCCCTGCCGTGGACAACCCCTGACCCCACTCCCATTGCTCCCTGGGTGCTGTACAATAGCTGCTCACTGCTCCTAGTCCTATGGCTTCACAATATATATTTTACATATATATATGTTCTTTGCCATGTCAACATTGCAAAAAAAAGGCATTATTTAACTCTGGGATTTTGATGTTAGTTAAAGCAAAGTTATTGGTTACATATTTTGTGATATTGAACTACGTTAGCTCACTTTTTCCACATTCTGAACAGCCTTTTTTCCGAGTAGCCTTCCTTAAGAAAAGAAAGGTTGATGACACAGCAGATTTCATAATTCATTAAATGTACCGTTTGATATTAAGAATGCTGAGCTCACTCCTCTCTGCAGATTCGAATGCTGGCTGATCCTACCGGAGCTTTTACAAAGGTAAGATTATATTTCTGGTATTATTCTGTTCTATTAAATGTGACCTGTGCTCATCTCTCCGTTTCTTTCTGCCCCGTAGGCGGTGGATCTGCTGCTTGACAGTGATCAGATTGTTCAGGCACTTGGGAACAAGCGATCCAAGAGGTAATGATCATTTTTGCTCATATCAGATTTGACTGCATTTGTTTTGAATCTTTTTTTGTTTGATCAATTACAATGTAAACTCAGGCTGTGCTGTAAATCACTCCCATTACTTACATCTTTTGTTGCTACAAACATTTCTGAAAATGTAACAAACAAAGTAATGTTTGTTATTTACACGATATGGTAATAATCAAAGAATTGCATTTTATAGGTGATAAAAAGCAGTTATATTATATACATAAGTATAGTATATTACAATTATACATAAGTGTGCTCTTTAAATCTCAATATACCGCTCTCTATAGAGTTAACTGTCAAATGATTATATAGGGAGTGAACAAGGGTGTGATTTTGAGCATAGCAACATACGATGAACCTGATGATCACAACATCTGTTCAGGGACTGCATATGAAAATAGCCTCTTGTAACTCTGGTACATTTGCAATAATGTGCACTGTCCCTGTTAAATAAATATAAAACCCTTTTTGTTTTGCAATATCATGTAACATATCCAACTGGACTCTCTCATGGTGCAGAGATGAAGTGTGTGTTTGATCCTGTGTTTCAGATATGCGATGGTGGTGGAAGATGGAGTTGTGAAGAAGATCAATGTGGAGCCAGACGGCACTGGGCTGACCTGCAGCTTGGCTTCTAATGTTCTGTCTGAACTGTAGGCATATTTAGAGAGTATTAAACCAAACTGCAAACACTCAGTTACTATTAAAGTTGCACTAACCAAACCAAGTGCTACCCTGCTCACGCCTCTTCCTTTCCCCCCAACAATGGATGCAAAAGTAACTTGGATGCTAATGTAAAGAGCTGGAAGGCATTAACGCGCACAACTATAAAATGATTAATCAATCCAAAGGAACTAGTGTTATCCTCTGTCTCCTGATAACCTGTAAGAAAATAAAAGTCAACCGTAAAGCAATATTCAATGTTTTCTGTATTGTTCATAGTTTAAGTTATTGTATGTTTTAATTGTTTTTTGTATACACAGCCGATAATAATAATGATGACCAATGCAAAAAGACAGCATGCCCTAATGTGTCTTAATGACATTTTGAATCAAAGTAAACATGCATACGATGTAAAAAACAAGACACCATGCTAATTCTAACATTCAAAAGTACATCTTTCTTAATTATACAGGTAAAGTGTTGTAGATAGTAAAACATTCATCCTTGTTAAGAAGTTGTAAAGTAACAGAGATTAAGGCCTGGATGTTGTATCCATGGCTCAGACATGCTTATCCTGTTGGTCAACAATCAGGGGGGAAAAACGCTGCTGTACAGTGACGTAAGGACGCAAGAAGCAGGCGCATTGCATTGTGGTCGCCGGTGTTTGCACAGAAACAGAAAGCAAAGCATCAGCTCTCCACCGAACTACACTCATATCAGCCTGGACAGTACACTAAGAAGTAAGTCGAAACTCATCCATAATGAAGTTTTCATTAGCTAAAATATGCTGTGTACAAAAAAAGTAGTGTCAGAAGATAACGAGCACTACTTTAACGTGCAGAGTTATTGGCTAGCTACCTCTGAAGCTACTATAGCGTTAAGTTATCATGAAGGCGCCTACATGCTGAGAAACTAGCTTCACTGCGCTAACTTCGTATACGGCGAGGGTCTCTTCAGGCCCACGTACTGTTTTAAGACCACCTTGAATTAGGCAGTGGCCACTCGTAGTGCAATAAACGAAAACACTGTTTATCTACTGAGCATTAGCTCGTTGTGCTAAAGCTATTAGCACTAAGATGTGTTACCCGCGCAATTCAATGGTGGAAGTGTACCGTATTGTAGCTAGCCAGTCGCTGTATCAAAGCGTAAACAGCTTTTATATACACAGTATGGTAAACTCCTGCATAAATATCCAATGCAGTGTGTAGAATTGTTTAAATATAAGTAGGCTAAAAGTATGATAAATAATAAGGACTTGCAGCAGGGAGTGGTTAAGGTTAATAAGTAATAACAAGAGGCCCTTTGATACCAATAACATGTTGGTTGGTGTTAATCATGCTGTTTACAATTTACATTTTGAATCTGACAACTCTGAATTGATTGAAGGGGGTGATATACATTTGTTTTGTATTGAACCCAAGCTTAGAATCACTACACATTGTAATGTAGCATGTATCACACTGATCTTAACATGATACTCTGACATCGAAACCTAACGCACTGTATTAGTTTCAACACACCCTATTCACTTACTTGTGTGAATGGATTCAAACCAGGAATGCTTATTGGGTGTGCACAATGACTTCTAGCCCTTTCTCCTGTTAGTTTAGGAACGCTGCCCAGTATGGACAAGAGTAAGACAGTAAATAATAAGCTAGTGTTACAACAGACCTGGCAGACTCTCACTGGGAAACATATCAAATGTCTTCGAGACTTATTTGAAACTAAAAATAAACACCGTAACTGGTTACAAAGCTTCACAGTTGGTGTTGACCACAAACTACCTAAACCAAAACGCAGTCAGAAGTCTAACCCTACAGTCAATTCCTCATGGTTGTTTCAGAAATGCATGCACACAAATAATGGAAAAAACAACATGAATTATGGAATAGGGCAAATATCTGTTACATGAATTTGACTGCCTTTTTAATTTATATTATCTTGTTTGTGTTACAGTTCATTAGTTGGTGATCTTTGCCCGTCTACGAAACAGCCATGTCGTCGACATCCCAGAAACATAAAGACTTTGTGGCCGAGCCCATGGGCGAGAAGCCTGTGAACGCTCTGGCAGGCATTGGAGAGGTCCTTGGCAAAAGACTGGAGGAGAAGGGTTTTGACAAGGTAATTGGGATTTGATTTGTATTCAATATAAACACGTGTGGTAGTTAGTTATCACAAATATACGATGCACTATAAAGGGTGCCAACATCGCTGCGATTGTGGTATTATCAACGTTATGGTATTTGTGTCTTGAAATCAATGAAAGAAAAAACATTAGTAATGCACAGGCTTATAAAATGTTGTCATTTTAAGTTTAGTAGCTATTTTCGTAACTGCCCTTCCTTATCAAAGTATCATGAATATTCTAGTTTTTGTAATGTGAACATTTAAGAAACAGGGTTAGTGTTAAAGCAGTTGCTGGATTGTCAAATAATAATACTACACTTTAAATGGCACCTTTTTGATTGAATCAACGTTGTGACGGAAAGGCCATGTGCAATTTAGTGCCTTTGCTTCCAGGAAGACAAAGACAGCACACACACTGTCTTTGTCTTCTTAAAAGTCAATGATTATTTTGGGTGCGTGTGAAAGGCTGTGACAGGCTTAGTCTCAGAGAAAACTAAAGAGCTGCAATCTTGGATCATCACTCAAAAAGAACAAGGCAGTGTGTAAACATCACAGGGAATAATGTCATGAGTGGCTGGTGAGGCACCATGGATAAGGAGTGGTAATATTTAGGGGTTCAATAATACGGTGTTTGGGTTCAAATCACACCACGTTTTTAAACTGGCCTTTCCACCTATCCTCTTCATGCTTTCCGAGATGTGATTGAACACTGGCTTCTTAACAACGGGGCCGTTAATGTGGGAAACCCTTGCATTCCTGTCTTTATTATATTTCCGTGTGTGTCTGTCTTTCCCTCCGCAGGCGTACGTGGTCCTCGGACAGTTTCTGGTGCTGAAGAAAGACGAGGAGCTTTTCCGGGACTGGCTGAAAGACACTTGCTCTGCAAATACCAAACAACAAGGTGACTGCTTTGGGTGCCTCAAAGAATGGTGTGACGCCTTCTTATAAAGTGTTCAGTCATCGTTTTCTACTTCTGAAGTCCAAGCTGTACATTACCTCTTCAGTGCTATCCATTATATTCAGCTATACCACAAATACGAACTGACACTGTGCACCCTAATGAAGTCATTGAAGTCATTTTTATATTTAAATTACACTCAAAGCTGTAAGTGTATTTCTTGACCCCAAACAAAATGTACAAATGCAATTTTCATGGTCTTTCACAAGTAGGATTCATCTTCCTTTAAAATGATATTCATACTGTGACATTTTATCTGGCTGTGACGTCGGTAGGCCTTTTTATGGTGAACATCTGAACATGTCCTCGTAGGGCTGTAGCACAGTGACACATGAATATAACTTTATTAATGTTGTGCTGTAATAACATTTAGTAGACTGTCAAGTCTCCAGTTAAGAGTGCTCATGTTCATTATATTTAATTTGTCTAGGTTCATTGGAAAACTGCATTTACATTTTGTTTACGGTCAACGTTTCGAATGGTTCATGAATTGTTGGTCGTTTACTAGGAATTGACATCTTTTAAGCTCAAATACTTAGTTCTATGTTAAAGCCTTTAACTTTGTTGCCATCTTGCCCTGTTTATCCATTTTTAAAGCCATTGGAAAGTCCACGTAAGCACTCTTTTTCCCCTCATAATTGTGCATCATATCACAGTTTTGCACGATGTCACTATAGGACAATGTTTTTAAGGATCTCTTGTAGGTTGTCAGTTTGAAAGTGTCTGGCTGAAGATGTAACTGATTTGATGTGACAGACAAAAACAAAACCTCACAATGAATGTGACACTGGTCTCAGCAGAGAAGCTCATTTTGTACTGGAAACACCTTTTATGTTTGATCTTGCAAATAAAGAAGCACCATGGCCACGTCTGGTCAAAGCTGGTTTTAAGATGGGGGAAAAGTGTATAAATAAAGACTCTGATGAAACACTGTCGTAAATGGCTACCAGGATGAGAGGTTTTGGATAAACGCGGTTAGAATATTATGACAAATCCAATGATAGAGTAAATCAACCCCTGTTTGTCCGTTAACAGTGAAGCTGCTTGTATTGCTATGCTCTACTGGAACAACACCATTTGCAGCTTCAGTAGAATCTCGTGTGACAAAACTGATGTAATCTATTGGTTATATGTGTCTTAACTAACCTTTAAACAATACTAGATCACATGGTGTTAGTTTGCAGTGAGCTCCACACCATCTCTGACTGTTTCTAACATGATGCCTTAATGCATGCCATTCCTAACCTGTAAAACCTGCAGTAGTGCTCGTCTGGGTTGTGCCATTGAATCTTCCACACCCCACCAGCTGTGTATGAAAACTCTTCAGTTTTTATATTCCACACGTGTTTTTCTCTTACATGTTCATTAAAGATTCAATTTCTATCAAATAAAATCACAAGTGCGAAAACATCTTTGATACCAGGAGGTTTTATTTCAATTCTTCATGTTCCATGGTTTCTCTTTTTGCAAAGCACCACATTTGTTATTTGCAAGATTTGGAACATATGTTTTATCGTGTTGAAGATGCTGTGGAGCTCGTGAGATGAGGGGAACTCCAAATTACAGCAATTTTCTTTTTCTTGCAGACATTTAACATAAATATGTCATTGCCTGTATTGCAGATGGAGAAATAACCACAGAGAAAGCGACACATTTTAATTAATAAAAGGAATTCCCAACTCATTCACATTCGTCCTTGCTTCACATGAATGAGAGGAGACGTTGGGCCCATCACACCTGATTGGTTAAAATGTACACTTTAAAAGTACATTTGACGACTGCATTTATTTTGTTTACCTTGCAGAAATATAAAACTTCCTGTGACAGACTCAATAAAATAGCTGATTTTGATTTAATGGCTTAGATTATATATTAAATGTTCATAGCCCTAGGAATGTTTTTTTCCTTTCGGGTCTATGCTATTGAACTATAACATGTGTTTTCCGACCGTGATCTGACTCAGGATTGTGGCTTAAGTTTCACAGTAGCACCTTTGCATACACATACACGTTTCCACACACACGACGGCAACAGTATAGAAATTCTAACATCCTAATAAACCTTGAATGAAATGGCTCCACTTATAAACACAGCCTGGACTTGGTAGATACAAGCAACTGCCAAAACATATTGGAAAAGAGAACTGAGTGCTGCAGGGTTGAAGTATTTTGTAGTCCTACAAATAAGCATTTAGCAAATGTTCCTTTAGTTTTTCGATTATTGTGGAAAATGAGTCCTGGCCAACGAACGTTTATCATACCACCTGTCTTGTTAGTAAGATGCTCTTCACAAATTATCATCACTATGATTTTAGAAGCGTAAGCCAGACCTTTTTTAAAAAACATGTAAAAGCCTCAAAATTCACAAGCAGGATGACAACACTGTAAAGTCTCTTTCTGACACACAACTCATTTCAGGCGTCTAACTGAAAACCCATTGACTTCCAAACGGAACCTGAAGTGCAACTCATTTCTGGGGTTTTAGGATTCATTCCGCTGGATTTGTTCCTCTATTGAATGAATGTGTAGCTCTAAAAGGCTAAGCTAGCTGTTGATGGAGACAGAACACGGAAAGAGCGTTAATCTGAAGAAGAGTGGTATTACCTCTACACGTAGCAACCAAGATAGGACATTTCATAAACGTACCTAACAGGCTTTTTTTTCACAAATGTATGAACATTATAATGGGCCGAAGTGACAGCCTTGATCTGTCAGAGCAGCATCTGACCGAGCTAAATCCAAAGCGTGGGACTTTGCCTCTCAGTTAAATCTGATCCATATGATTATCCTTTTTTGGCAGTTACCTATAATATAAATAAGCATGACATGTGTTATTAAACTAATAATAGCTAAGTTTATTTACTTTTGATTATGATAACTCTGACTCTATCGATTGAATGTTTGGGTTTTGTTATATTTGTTTTTCCCCTCTTACATTGAGACTTTAGCAGTGAAATAATTTAGTTCCAGAGTTGATTGTGTACTTTACATCGGCAGCTTTTATGCAAGGTTCCTATAGTAGGCTACATTGATGTCTCATTCAGATCAGAAGTACACACTGTACATACATGTACTGTACAGTTGTACTTTTAATCACAGCAATCCCTGATTGGTCTCAAAGCAGAGCGCAGAAGAACTTCTTCTCCCTGTAGGGGTTCTCTGAGATGGGCACGGGGCTGATCAGGGGGTCGTCACAGGAGTGAGCGTCGCAGTACGCCATCAGGTCCGCCGCGGCCTTCGATACCTGAGACGAGGGTCAGAATCAGGGACAACTCAACATCACGTTTCAATCAAAGGTTGTTTTCTCTGGATTTTTGCAAGACATTCAAGATCTCCACTGGAGGACTTTTGCAATATTTTGTACATATTGGAAAAACGGGAGAAATAAAGAAATACAATTTCCATTTTTTCTTACCAAAAAATGTGAATACTTTGTCACAAATAAAAGTCCTGCATTCTAAACGTTACTGTAAAAATGTGTTAGTAATGTCTGCAAAATGTACCTAAAGTATACAAAAATGGTCTCAGTGTACAAATATCGGATGATTATTATTAATGTAAACCGCATTCAATTGTGCTAGCCAACTGAAGCAGAGCTAATTTAACTTATTCTATCAATCCACGGATTCATTCACTTTAGCAGTTTTTTTTAAATTGTATTTATTTGGTAAATTGGTATACTATTATAAATAATACCAACAGTATGAGCAGGTTTAATATTGATTCATTTTAGGAAGACTAGATGTCTGCAGTAACAATGGTCTCACAGTACAGCCATAACATAGGGGTAGTGTAATACTTCAAGTATCGCTATAAAGAGTTCTATATCTAAATGTTTAAAGGTTGAATTTCTAAATGTGTTTTGGTTCTTGAAGTCTTTGAGTAAAGAGAAGTACGCCTTTTAAAGCATTAAAACTAACCCTTGTTCTGGTCAAAAGTCATGCTGGAAACTCCTCCATGATAAGCATGGACTTAGAGTGCATTGATAGTCACCTGTGATTCTCTCCCAACTGCAAAACAGATGTAAATGTCAAGATCGTTTAGTGCTGTTCTTTCAACTTAGATGCTTTATAAGTCAATGGGCAAATCAATCGTGGACTTTGTTTAATCTGAGGGCGGTTTTAGTTTGTGCAGCAGTATTAATCATTCAATACAAATAATGTAGTATCATTATGACTTTGTGTGGGCATGTACTTGACATGAGCAAGTACACGTTTGATTTCAGTGTTGGGCATGACATTATTTGAACTTGTATCAACAAATATTTTTTTAGCTTCTCAAAAAGCCATTTGGAAATGTATTTAGTCGACTGTTTGGATTTAACTCATACATTGGTTCAATTGTTTCCCTTTTTATTATAGGGTTTAGTGTATGATTTGTGTCTGAATGTGAGACGTCCAGCTTGTCTTACCTTTATCCTGCAGAAACTAGCCTCTATCTTCAGTTGCTCCACCAGCTTCCTGGCCTGACCGACACTCATCATGGTACTGTTCACTGGGGTGTCTCCTTTCATCCTGTCCACCAACACAACAACATTTAAGCTCCAGGGATAACAATGGCATAGAAATACAAATACATTCTGTAAATCTTTTTTACATTTTCCATTGAATTGGTAGCCTTATATTTCTCCAGAAAATGATTATTCCAAAAATCTTAAAAATGCAAGTCAATACTTTGACTAAGTGTGCCATCTCTCTAAAAATAAAATGTATTCCTAATATGTAAAGGCTTTGAATAGTTAAGATGGAGGTGTGTATTTCCTGCTCATACACATTGGGTTACTGATTGCAAAGTTAGCTTACACATCTAGGTGGCTGATCAAAATCACTGTCTGACCTTAAAGTTCCTGAAAAAATGAAGTCATTCTTTCAGCACTATTGTGTCATACAGAACATGATGAAAGCTATGCTCAACAAGTATAGCATATATTTATTATTTACATTGAAACGTTGGTTGCACAGCCATGTCAGTTTCCAATGAATAAGTATGAATATCAGCCAACATTGTATTATAGAATTGACACCCCTCCTCCAATATATAATTGTAAATATGAACAAAAGTATGGGTCTATGTATTCAATCAAATGCAAAATAATCATTACTGGGCCAAATGGTCAGATGTATACCATGGCCCACACCACAAGCAAGAATACCCACAGAAAAATCAAATGTAGAATGGAATAATCACATAAATATATTTATGAAATGTTAAATAAATATACATATGATTTAAACAAAAAGGTATCATATGGAAAATGAATCAAGAAAGATGTATTGTCAACAGGGGGGAAGCATGCAGAAGCAGCAAAGGATCTATTTGAACAATTCTGGACCTTTCTCCATTGTCTCTTCCCCTTTATCTCCACCCACCCCCTTTTCTCCTTACCCGTTTTATAGTCCTCTTTAGGTGAAATCTTCCCCCCTCTGCGCTCTATTTTTCCTCTCCTTTTCTGCCTCTCTGTTAGCTTTCGTTTGGTGGTATCAGTGTAGCCGGACCCCACCCCTCACAGACAGCAGCCTGGATGCTACACTGCTCTGTACAGTCCAGTGCACTGTAATTCTGCCACAATGAGCACTAGATCTGGGGTGGATGGATAGCATCACCCCCTCGGCAGGAAGTGGTACCTGCCGGACGGAGGGAGGGGGGAAGCCATTGGTGATGGTTTTCTTATGAAGGCAGATTGTACCATGTCTGTGCTGTAGGAAATTGGGGAAATGTTAAGGTTTTAATCTTTGATAGGGAAGCGGATGGTTATAATGTATTGTGGGTGCATTTGGGTTTTAGTGCTTAAAGATTATAAACAGCCTTGGATGTGAAATCCAGAGGCATGAATCATGACGTGACCCTTTGCCTTTTGTGATGCCCACCCTCTCCTCTGTTGCTATGGGGACTGCAGCAGTCTGATTTATTAGTGGTTTACACAGTTTGACAGTTTAAAATGGAAAATATCTGTTATTATTTAAATGGGAATCTTATTTATGTGCTACAGATAAAAAGAAGGTCTGCATTGTACACATTAGAGTGATTAAAAATAAACAGGAAATGTAGTGGATGTATTGTCACCTCTTATGACGCTCTAAGATCAAAGATTCTGTGGAGGAAAGATTAGCCCAATGCCACAAAAGAGCTCTTTCCCAAATCGTTACACTATTTTAATGAATAACCACCCTTTTTCTTAGTTTAAATGTTAAATAAAGATTGTTTTACAAACGTACATCGAAGTAAATGTAATACAAAGTGGAAGATAGGCATCTGGCAACACGCAAAAATTACCCGACGCCATTTATGCTAGGCTAATGTCTCCACTGCTTTAATGGCCCTACGACTGTGTCCCACAGTGGTCTCCAGCGGCGGTGACCTCTCTTTTGCTAGTAATATCTTTGTTAACTAGGAGGCAGTTTCTCGATCTTGTTTATTTGTCCATCGTGCTTGCCGTCGTATAGTCCTCTCAAACAGTGCTGTTTGAAATGAAATGTTTGAATGTGAAGCTGTGGCTTTGTACTTGGTGGTAAGTATTGTTGAGAACATTCCTTACACACTTAGCAACCTTTTATTTTATATCTTTCTTGTATCCACCATCTTGGAATGAAATAACGAAAATAGTTGTTTTGTGAGTCCCATACACAAATGTAAACAAGGACATACATATATATTTTTTTTTTCTTTCTTTCTTTCTTTAGCTGATTTCCACACAGTTTACCAGTTCTTATTGGTTCTTATAAACAGTTATATTGTTTATTAGAGTGTAACTCCTCAGAATTTCACAAAAATATAACAATAGCCTACATGTAATTTATATATGCATGTGAGATGTGCAAATGAACAGATTGTCTTTTAAAAAGTTGTAAGAAATTCATGACAATATAAAATGTTGATGATTTGGTATAAACATCAGAGAGCAAAGACAACACTGCTTTCCATACTCGTAGTTTGAGTTAAACAAATGGCTTGTTATTGTGTTGAAATGATTGTCTTTTTTTCTTAATTGCTCTACCAGGTACTGCAGAGAAACTTCATGATGGCAGAGTGGAGAGCAGTATACATATTTGGCTGTTGAAGCCACAGGCAGCTGCAGTTTAAGGGCTCCATCTGCTGGATGATGCTGGCAGGTTTGACCCATCACTGATCTGTGAAGTCCGCACAGTGAATACAACCCAGTTCCTGATGAACCACCCAGGAGAAATCTGAACCCTGCAGCTTCTTTTGAGGTAAAAAGTGCCATTTAATGGCCCAAATTCAGTATGCACTAGGCAATAATGACAGTACAACTTACAGAAAAAGGGTAGAATGTATTCAATGATAATAAAACTCATGTTACTCAAGTGAACCACAATTGACATTTTGGAAAATTACCAAGTGGCAAAGGCAGTCTGACAGCTTTTATCCCATTAACTATGTCCAGATCAAATGACTTCCATTTAGCACTAAAGGATGCTTTGAAAAACTGACTTTTTACAGACCTGTTACTGGTTGGGGCAGAAAATCTAAGATTTCGGAGCAAGTTACAACCAAGTTGCACCTACAATATTTTGATCATTGTTCATAACTTCATGTCTCTAACTGTAAGAGAGAAACAGGTATTTACTACTGAACATTTTACTCTGATCAAAGGCAACACATCTACAGCCAATCCCGGTTTCAATTCAGAAGGGGCTTGTACATTTAAACAATTTTTAATCATCCTTGAGAACCTTTTTTGGTCCTGGCACAAACTGGAAAAAACAGTGACAGCAGGTACAAATCAGTACATGACTGCAAGGGCTGTATCGACTGAATCGCTCCCCAGATGGTCCATGAAACGCTCCTGTTTCATCTCTGCAGGTTTCCTCTGGTGTAATTAGTGTGGGTGCAGACACCGTTGCCATCCAGCAAATACATCATTTTGTAAAAGGCTGCCATATGACCAAAATGTCACAGTTAAAAGTGTAAATGGTAAAGCCAAGGAGTTGTGAAGACTTATTTCTTATAAAGCTACTCCACAATGCTTAATGCATACATCCAGCAATGCTTATAGAAAATAACATAGTTTTAATTCAATTATTAGCTCCCTTTCATCTATTGTGCCACATGTATTCCAGTTAATTAACCGACTATACATTTCTTTGTTTTTGATTAATAATCCTTATTTACATTTAACCTAATTACTGTCGTGACACACTGGAGCATTCAAGTCTGGAGACCTCAAAGCTGAGAATCAGCACTTCATTTCTCACTCACTTGATTCAAAAATGGAGCTTAAATCTGTTTAAATGTATACACGAGGGCACATTTGACAGAGTGGAAGTTAGAATGAGGATTCAAGCTCCCTTGTTATCTACTACCAGTGTGAGGCTGTCAGATTATCATTACTTTCTCAAACAACCGCTGTTTTAAATTATTCTTGCGTGATCCTGTAAGATTTTTATTTTTATTTTTTTTATTTTTAATGTTATTCATGCAGAAAATAGTGCAGTTCTCTGCCTCAAGGGTGATGTAGAAATTATTGAACCAATGCTGCTATTCATTTATTTGGCCCATTGATTCCATGTTTGGACCCAATGGTAGAAACACAAGGTGGACATGTTTCACGATCAATGGTAACCGTGGTTTTGATATAGAAAAACACAGCGCATGATCAATCAATCAATCAATCAATCAATCAATCAATCAATCAATCAATCAATCAATCAATCAATGTTTATTTATATAGCCCAATATCACAAATCTTACATTTGTCTCAGTGGACTTCACAGTTTGTACGCAATATCAGTATGACAATACGACACCCTCTGTCCTTAGACCCTCATATCGTTCAAGGAAAAACTTCCAAAGAAGAAAAAACCCCACAGTTTAAAGGGGAAAATGGGAGAAACCTCAGGGAGAGCATCAGAGGAGGGATCCCTCTCCCAGGACGGACAGACGTGCAATAGATACCGTGTGTAAATTGAAAAGATAATACATTTGCAACATAGGTAGACCAAATGTTTGGAAATACATGTGTTTATAATAAGAAGATGAATCCACGAGGATGTCAACAATCCTGTGGGAGCCATCACGGAAATAGTGTGATGAGAGTCAGGCAGGACCGCAGAGACAGGTTCAGCCACGACTCGAAATCCAGGACTCAGGATGCAGGACTCAGGATCCAGGACTCAGGATCCAGGACTCAGGATGCAGGACTCAGGATGCAGGACTCAGGATCCAGGACTCAGGATCCAGGACTCAGGATCCAGGACCACAGCAACAGGCACAGCCACGACTCAGGATGATGCATGATCTGTGTGATTCTGAGCGATAGTCATGCAATTAACTGCTGCTGCATCTTAATATTCCCACAGTGAAACATCCACTAGAATAACCAATCATGCAGCAGGGGCTGATGAGCTAGTGGAGCCAGGTGTGTGCCACTGCCAACAAAACGTAACTATGGAAAAGTGCAGTATGATCTCGACTTAGGAAATTGTGATGTTATGTAGATCAAAGTTTCTCATATGTTGTCCCTTGGGGCATGCATGTGTCAAAATATGATTTGTTTCATAATTAGATGGTCGAATGTACTTATTGTAAGTCGCTTTGGATAAAAGCGTCAGCTAAATGCAATGTAATGTTGACAAATTCATGTTTATGTAAACCTGTTTCCTATATACTAGTCAATGGTTTTGACATATATGCTTTGGAGGAAATGTCATCATATTTAAATTGGCAAAAGCTAGGCTGTTTGATAGGCTGACTGCACATCTGACAAAAGAGGCAGTGTGGTGTACAGCTGAGGGTATCAAATTCTGTGGGAGTCCTAGAACCTGGAAATCAGTTGGCATCTTATAAATGTTCCTTTTCCTAGTCGAGTTTTGAACGTGTTTTTGGTTAGAAGCCTGAAATAAGGTCTGTGGTTTAAAAAATATTTTCTGTTTTTGTTTGTCAGTAAATACCCCACTCTAGAATCGGGCAACTTCGGGCAAAAGTGTTGCATGGGCTCCAATTTCATTTTGCAGAAGTTGGCAGATACATAAATTATGTTTACTTATATTCAAATTGTGAGATAAGGCCTTGCATTCATGTGTTGCGGGAATAATCTGAAAAAGTGTTCCTTTGTGGGAAAATTCTCATTAAGTCGAAAAAAACGACTTGGAAAAATATAGTAACATGTTGTTTAAAAGCTCAGAGCAAGAAATTGCAACACATCTTCTAGCGTCAATTTTGTTTCCACATTCCAAAAAAACCCTAACCCTATGAACTTACCAGACTCGTATAAAGGAAGTCACATGATGATAGTCTGAAGTCTGTGCCATTTCAGTTTAGCAAATGGTCTTAAATCAGCATTGGCATGAGGATTGTACAAGCAAGTACATCGTTTCATCTGATGATGCCGCTGGACAAAAAGAGAAGGGATCACTAAAGTTATAACAGTTAATCCTCAGGAGAACATACATATTCCAAATTTCATGACAATTCATCCAATAGTATTTAATACATTTTACTCAAAACCAATCAAATTTCAACCTCACTGAAGCTCTAGAGGAAAACGGGATCACCACATTTTGTTGGGTTCATCCTTTGAGGGGCATGAATAACTGCACCAAATGTCATGTCAAAAATTCCGACTTTTCAATCTGGACCAAAGTGGTGGATCAATAGGCAGAGTGTCATTGCTGCCTCTCGTGCGACGCTCCTAACATGGTTAAAAATGAAAACTTGAGATAATAGATTGCACACAGATTTTCAGAATTAGAGATTGAGAAGTCAATATGTAGCCTAATACAAGCATGCTCCACACATTAAATAAAGTGAATACAGTGATGCTCGTTCATTTTTATTTGCAGCAGTCATTGCCAGGATGTGAGTTTTGTTTTAACCTCTCTCACTGATCGATCCCCCCCCCCGGGTGCTCAATCACACAGCTGTGAATCACAAACCGGCTCTTATGCAATGGTGGGCGAAGCAGAATGGGGTGGGTTGATCCTCTGAATCGTCAATTGAAACTGGCCATTTCTATTGATGGCAATGTAACGGCTCAATACTTTCCAAATAGACACTCCTGACTTCATTCAGAGAGTGCTGGCGATCTGTGGGGGGAGAGAGCTGCAGCCTATCACAGTGCTTGCTTTTTATTGGACGATTGAGTTCACCAAAGCTTTCAGCTCACTCACAGACACAAATCATAACGAGTCATTGTTTTCTCAGGTTTTTCTTTTTAATGAAAGAGCCAGTTCCAGTGTGTTTTCTAGAAATGAACATAGAGAACAACTTCACAATCCAGCCATCAGGTTTTGTACAGCACACTTTAGGATGCTATTATGGTAACATTATCATATTCAGCTATAACCAACAAAAGAGAAGACAATACAGCAGTTGAATCACTTGATGGGGAAAGCATCAGTCATGTCACCAACATAGAAACCTTATAACTCAGAGCAGCTGTGAGTCAAACATGTATAAATGGAAGAGAAAGAACATGTTTGTCTAGAGCGGATCCTCAAACCTCTTTATGAAGCTATAGTGTGTCTATGTATTGCACAACTGTTCTGCCTGAATGGGAGTTTGACGTCATGCCAACAGAGTGTGTTCACATGTAAACCAATAATCAATTCCCACACACCCCTTTTCTTGACATCCTTCTAACTGCATATGCTACTGCTCTCTAAACGTATACATGTAATTCTTCTCTAGGGATGCATTTAAGGCCTGTGTATATTTGAGATTATAATCTTTACACTGGCTGCTAGATTATTTGAAGGTAGGCCTACTTTAAGTAAAGCTCCTCTTGAAGTTTTGCATATTTATTTGTGCTACAAGATGAGTTATAGATGTATGTTTTTGGGGCTTATTTGTCTCAGATCGGCATCAGATTTTCAAAGTTGGTAGTGTCTAAAGCCACAAGCAAATAGTTTGTTAACAAAAATCAATTAGATCCAATCAATTCTAAATAAAGTGTTTCACAGGCTTTGACTTTAAGTAGTTTACCTTAAAAGCAAACATACAAAAGACCCCTAATACTTATTTCTAGTAGCCCATGGATGTTTCTATCTTTGTCTGTAGGCTACAACTGACATTGAATTATTGTAGTTCAGTATTTATTTTGTCAACCAATTTTTTTTTGTAAGTATAGGCTACTTGACATCACATCATGAGACCAACTACATGTATTGTGAGCTAATGGCTTTTTTTTGCCAATCATACCAAGAAATTACTGTAAAAAAACAATGACAAGCAGTTTTAGCTTACAATCAACTGAAATCTTGCAACTGAAATGCGCGAGAGAGAACATGCAGATTTGTATCACAAGTGTGTTATTCATTGCAGCAACATTCACTTGACAGAAAAATATGTCTGTAATGAAGTTTTTGTATGTCTTAAGAATGTGTGTAGGTCTGAAAAAAGACTATGTACAGCCATGCTAGCTAGCTTAAGAAAAACGGTCAGCAACCTAACATGTTAGTTAGCAGTGATAGTGCTAGCATGTTTGTTACATCTTAACCGGTGCATGTGATCAATTGCCTAGCATGTTTATTTAAAATCCTAATTTAGTAACAGGATGCTAATATTAGCAAATTAGCACTAAACACTAAGGCGTATTTGAATGGCATTAGCAGGTATTGAGTCATACACCATTTTGACTTGCAGATTGCACTAGATGAAGAAGAAGTAGGGGAATTACATTCATTTAAATATTCTCTGGTGGATGAATGTGTGAACACAATTCCATGGCATCTATCAAATAGTTTAAACTCTGCACGTAACAACGCCACATTTGACATAGCAACATGAGATACAAAAATGCATCTTGCTTCAGTTGCAGGATTCCTGTTTTAACCCAACTACTTTTAAATGTTCAACTCCTGATTTCTTCAGAGGACATCATCTAGATTGTGTCAAATACATACATACAGAGCCTAATTAAATATTCCTATGGTTGTTTTCTCGTATAGGCCTACTGTAACTACGGTCAATACCTTGACAACAAATTCTGCCAAAATGGTTGCAGAAAAAGCAACATCACAGTTATATTGACAGGAAGCAATGAGTTAGGCTTTTTTTGTAACTGCTACATTATACTCTCTCTTTTCTTTTATCATGCTTGTAAAGGAAGACCCTCAGGGACAGCTACAGATTTAAACACACTGCAGCGAGGCAGCACAATAATAAAGCCTGGAAAGAACTGGAAGAAAACATTTGATCAAGGGTGCCTCTGTATCGGAGCCCACTTTGTAACACCTTTAGCGATATTCACCACTAACATGACTTACAAAATAAAAGTATTTGTGATATAGCAGCATTGTATTAGTCACAGTGCACCTCGAAGAATTATGAAGAGTATAATCGGTACATGAAGGTAAAAACATTGTCTAGATACAAGGACCAGTTACTACAATATGAAAATATTACATTTGCTTAAGAGAAACAATCCATCATGAAAAGGAAGAGCATCACAGGTTGGATAGATAACAGGAGTTTTTGGGTCTCTGGAGGAAGGCCGGGCGGGGGGTGAAACAGCACAGCATTACTATGATAGTCATACCTGAAGAGTTCTTACCCCGTTAGGAAGGAAGGAGGTGATCTGCTTTTTTCTTTTTCTTGAATCGTCTCATCAGCGTCAGTCCTATGAGTTAATATCCTTGAATTCAATATTTGGTACAGGAATGTACACAATGTTTTAAAAATGAGCAGTAAAGTACAAACAGGAATAATTAAGCAATGCACGGATATACAATGTCCTCAAAACCTTATCATACACACTGTTCGAGAGCAGAACACAAACTGATTTTTTTTCTTCACACACAAACACTCAAGGAGAGACTGGCCCTTCAGTTTATTTGAATTAAAGAGAAAACGTTTCCTTAGATGTGTCTCTCGAGAACAAGCGTCTGAGGTCAGCACTGACTCGACTGCACAGCAAGTCCATTCAGGGTAGAATGAATTGCTACAACAGCCATTTTGCATATAAAGTCTGTATAAAAATCAAGGAGCAATAGCAACAGGCCCTCTTCAAGGTTAATAACACACCTACTGTGAGCTTATAGCTGGAGAGACCGGAGGAAGAAACGTTGAAGTCTCTCCAGCTGAAATAAAGGCGAGAGGTAAAAACAGGAATACGGTATGTTGACCCACGGTAACGGAGGTCTGATAACAGTGAAACTGTAATACTGCAAATGCACAGTTGGAAGATGGCATTCTGTCCAAACAGCCTTTCATACAAAACAAAGATTCATGTAAAAAAAAACAACTGTAAAAGCACAATTACAGTAACTGTGTTAACCTAACATGATGAGGTTTTGATTGTAGAAAAATATATGGCCAATATCAAAGTCACTTAAACAGAAAATAAATCCCAACAAGCACAATTCAGGGTCATTTTACAAAGTCTTATCTATAATGACACCACAGCAGGACCAGATTACACACAAGGCTAAACTGAAGGCATTTTGGTTGTAGAAACTTGGGACAGGGCATTTTGTTCAAATCTGGAAAAGGTGTATACATTTAGATTTAGTCACGTATCCACATACTGATTTATATTTGTTTGGGTTTTTATGAACATATGAGTGGGACCTTTTCTCTTTAATCGAATGTGTTAGATTTAATCAATAATGTATCCGTGACAAATCCTGCACAACCATGTATTTCCTCTGTCTAACTGAAGAGAAAACAAATAAATACAAAATAAGAACAACTCACAACACCTGAACTCTTTTTCACAACAATTGATGCTAGCAAAACACTTTTTTTTTCAAATTCTTAAGTCCTAAATGACTTTAAATATTTACAGCATCTTTGAAGAATGTGTTAATATGGCATCAGTTTAGAAAATGTGCAAAGCAATTGTCATCCTTAGCTACCAGATTAGTCAACACCAGTTCTCCACCGTTCACTTATTCTTTACATGGCGTGAATACATGGATATAGTATAGAATTCCTAACGGGAAGCTAGGAAAAGCTGCAGTTTGTATCATACTTTTTCACAGCCCTGCATCTAAAGTCTCAATCTGCCAAAGATTTCTAACTACTTTCACATCAACTATGTTCAGTGTTTTAACCACACTATTGACTGTGCAGACTGGATACACAGGACTTCTAAAGGTAAATACATCTGTATTGAATGGGAATCAGACCTCGACCATTATAATACAGTTCACAGCGAGTCCACCTACTCTAATAAAACCACGCTTCATAATAAAAGTCATGCATCGTATGGGGGAACAGCTAAGGATTTCAGTAAGGACAGTAAGACAAAAGAAGTAACAGACATCAACCAATCAGCTACCAGACATCACCATCTCTGAAAAACAGTGATGTCATTATACTCATTCACAAAGGTTTTAAATCACTAATAAGTAGATTTGGCATTTCAAGTGTTCATGACTTGGGTATGGTGTAGCCTTAATACTATACACTTTCTAAATGATTACTTGGTTGAAAATCCTTTTCTGGTACTGTAGGAAAATTAACACTTTTCAAAATAAAAGCTTTTAGTTTTCACCAAAACTATAATCCAAATGTTCCCGACCACACAAGTTAAGCAGGATGTTACATGTTGCATCTTAACTGTTAACTCCAACCAATTTAAAACACCATGTGCTTTGTATATTAAGAGCAATATCTGTCCGTGCACCATGACAGGACTGTTTCACGCCAGTTATATAATAAATAAAATATTGCAATTCTCTAATGAATTAAACTCAAAATAAATACTGCACAGTTGGACAAGGTCTGTTATTTTAAATCAGATCACTACAGCTGGACAAAAGGAACCAATCCACACCTCCGTTCAAATATACTGCAATAATACTGCATACAGAAACCTCTGGAAGTACTGTTGCATTGGGGTTTCAGCTTTTGCAGTAAATGTATTTATGATCAGCATATTTTTGTGTAATAACCTGTATTCAATCAAATATTAACACTGTTTTATCATCACTCTGACCCTGTGAGTGCACAGCATCATTTAAATCTTGCAGTCCTTTTTCTTTGCTAACAAACAGGCCACTTCACTGGAATACATTTACACATTTCCCTTTTTATCCATTTTATCCATTTTGCTACAAGTTGCCTAGGTTAATGCTACTCTTGTTTCTGCTCGGTCCATGCCGCTCTATTGCACAGTTTCCAAATATAAAAAAACACAATTATATGAACCAAACATTTGTGACATTTCAGTAGGTCATAAAGAAACAAACGCATCAAAGGTAAAGTGCATTGTTATGACCTGTGTTTGGCTACATGTGGTGGGAACATCAGAGTGGTGATGTTCATGAAGTATGGTCTTGTTTGCGTACCTGCTTTGCATGCATTTGAGATTAATGCCAACAAAATAATTGCATTTCTGTGTGTGGTTGTGAATGTAAACAATGGGAACAAAAATGAGGAGAAGACAAAAAGAAGTGAGATATCTGATGTCAGGTCTATACAAAATATTGGCACGTCATCTTATAAACAGTGTGCTGGATGATGATCATGTCTAAGAATGACCACTTACATGTAGCATCCAGTCTTTTGTATCACAGTATTAAAAGTGCACAAATTGCCACCATTTCCCAATTGTAATATTTCTCAGCATGTCTCTCTTCTACAATGTGCTGCACTTTTTCTTTGATGCTCATCCATTCCACTTTAATGTCTTCTTTACCTGAAGGTACCGGACACGCTCCTGACCCCTGACCTGCCTCACACCTGAGTCTCCACGCCGCTAAGTTTAGGCATCAGGATACGAGGAGTCACCCCGGAGTTGAGGTCCCTCTCGAACTCCAAAAGCTGGCCCATGAAGTTGAGATTCGGGGACACCACGGGACGACGGCTCCGCACGTATTTGTAGGCATCTGTCATTGTCATGAGGGTGTGCTTCATAAGGTAAGCGATGGCGATGGTTGCAGAACGGGACACGCCTGCCTGGCAGTGGACCAACACTCCCTGTCCACTCTGATATGCCTCCTCTGTGGATGAGACGACAAGAGCGATGAGCTCAATTAAAAAAACGGCTTAACACTGTGAGCATGGGAATATAGAAGGTATCGTTACTCATTAAAACGTACAACTTACAGATAAAGAAGCCTATAAGAAATATATCCTAAAACATGTAATTAAGCCAGTTAATCACCAACATTTAATATGTTACCATGCATGTTTATATATTTAAAACATCCCTGACTACTAAAATCTTGTCTAGTCTGATAAGTCACCATCCATCGCAAAATGGTGATGTAGCATTTTGCCAAAGGATTGCTTTATTTATATTCTGTTTATAGTGCACTGTTAATAACTGGGTTTCTTTAGCAGCAAATAATTGCTGTAGAAAGTTACAGCTAATGCAAGCTGAACATTTCCTTCCATTTTATTTTATTCTAAACAAAAGTTCTGCCAGTCAATAAAGTAACTTGTCTGAAGACGAGTCTCTACTAACGCAGTGTGAGAGGATATCAACTGTGGATATGAAAAGATGATCACATTGAATTTAGATTATTTTTCTTTTTGAAATTGTCACTGAAAAAGACTCAAAGACAAGACAAATGCAATCGGACGTGGGACTCACCAATGAATTCGAAAACCTCCTCAAAGTATTGTCGAAGGTTTTGCTTGCTGTTATCGGTGGCAGGCAGCCTCTTGTAGCGCAGTCCAGACTTGACATGGTAGAGCGGCAGGTGTGTGGTCACGTTGACCACGTAGCCGATGTTGAGGCGCAGCAGCAGGTCCAGGTCCTGGGCGTCTCTCTCGTTCCCCAGAAACAGGAAGGGTAAGATGGGACTGATCACCGCATTCTCCGCATCGGGACTCATCGCGGTCTCATCGGACAGAGAGGCAGGCAAGGAAGATGAGAGCGGTAGAGAAAGGTGCACTGAAGGAAGAAGAGACAGAGAAAAAGGTTTTGTAACGTGGTCTGCCGAGACAAGTCATGACAAGAATAATACGGCGAGAAACTAACAAATAACACTCAAAGTTACCAACTCAATAATTGAAAGGTGTGATATTCGTCTGAACACTAACGAGCAGTATTTATTTATTTTTTTAAGAGGTCTGGCCATTATCACTTGTTTTGACTTAAATTAAATAACTTCAAAGATGCTGGATGTTACCAAATGTGGATGCAACAGCAGAAAGAACTGCAATATATTTAACACGCTGAGGGAACAGGATCGGAATTATGACAGCATATTCCAAGCAAAGCCAGGCACTACTCTTACTTAAAAAGCTAATTAACAGGGATTTTTTGATTGACATATTCAGCATAAATGGGGGGAAACTGCTAAATAACAGTCAACATGAACCAACTTTATGTCAGTGATTGAGTTGCTTAATAGCAATTATGAATTAGTACCATTTGCACTTGAATCGTGAGATATTCTTACTTCTGTTGTTCTCCTCGTCCTGCTCTCTGTTCAGAGAGTTGAGGGCCAGGTGAAGCGAGTGAGCCGTGGGCAGCGAATGTCCTCCATCCCTGTCGCTCTGCCAGGGCCTCGGTTTGATGAGTGTGCTAGGGGCGGACGGAGGGGGCGAAAAGGACACTGGTGACGGCGGAGAGGCGGAGCGTGGAGAGGGGGAACGTCGATATGCTGCATCTCCGTCTTGCTCAGCTTCTACATCTTCAGCTTTATTCAGGAGCCTCTTAAGCGAGTTCCGGCCTTCGTCATAACTAGGTCCTGACCTGCGGCCCATAAAATCTAAAGCAGCCATTTTCCCCTGCTGAAGACGTCGTCGGCCAGCGCGGTCTGTAAGATGAGAATGCGCGTATTCCTGGAGGTTTTGACAGTCCAGGATGGCGAGGCCTTTTCCGTTGCTACCGTCCTGGGCCTGGGTTGCGCAGGTGTTCCCGAGTTCTGCTCCCATCCCGGCACAGTGATTCTTCTGGGCCTTAGAATGGGTCATCTTCTTGACCAGTTCATCAGGCCAAATAGTACGCACGCTGTAGTCGTCGTCGTCATCGGCTTGGAACGCACCTGCCGGATGAGCCGCTCTCCCCGGGGGTTTGCCTCTGCGAGGGTTAAACGTCACCACTATGGGGTCGCTGCTGCAGTAGCTGCAGGTGGAGCTGCCTGTCTGAGAGGCTTTGGGGTTGCAGCCTGTGACGCAGCTCTGTATCGCCCGGAGAGGGGCCGAAGAGGACAGCGGGGTACAGGGCAGACATCCCCCTACCAGTTTTTTGCGAAGGATAGCAGGACTCTCGAAGTTTCCGCCCTCTCCAGAGCAGGAGGCACAGCGGAGAGGCTTGAACAGGCTTGTCCGGCAGTCGGACACAGTGCTGTTAGAAGAGGAGGTGTTGGAGGTGGAGGTGGTGGAGAGACACCCCCCCAGATTTCTCAGGCCCATTTCTTTGCTTCCTCTCTTCACTGCTCCAGCATTATGAACACAGGAGAATGATGTGGACGTGCTTCCTCCCCCTTGTTGGCAGCTTGCAGTGTGTCCCTTACAACCTCTGCATTTTACCAACCTCCAGCAGCCACAACTGAATGGGCGGGTGCAGTCGATTGTGCAGGTATGGTCAGGGCTGGGGAAGCCTCCGACGTTGGAGGTGCAGGGGGAGAGGGGTAGACCATGAAGAAGGTGAGAGCGGAGGTCCTTGGTGTGGGAAGGGTGCGGCTGGCTGACTTGCTGAAAGGAGACTGGGGCATGGGTGGGTTGGGAGGGAGGGGGGTGACGGGTAGTTGGAGTTTAGTATGGCAGCATGGGGCACAGGGACGGAGTTTTGGTGGTAGGGCAAACTGTGGCTTTGATGGACAGTTCCCAGTTTGGAACTCTTCTTGTGACCTAGAGAGGGAAACTCCTGGTCTCTGTTAGGGAAACTCGTGTTCTCCTTCTCACTCCTGAACCTTCGCTGCTGTGCCTGAGCTGGGACGAATTGTAGGATGCCTCCAGGGGAAGTTGACAGCTGACTGTGGCGACTTTGCTGTGACTTGTGTTCGGCACCACCTGGCCTCCCTGCTGTTCCAGTTCTTCTCTCACATTGTCCTTGATCTATCTGGGACGAGGCACATTTTCCTCTGCTCCCCTTTGCACCTCCGCTGCGCTCTAAAGAGTTGCTGTTTCCTCCTCCCTGTCCTCCTTTGTCCACCGTCACCCTGATATCAATAGTATGTGTGTGGGAGGGCAGTCGTGGGCCGAGAGTTACTGTCCCATTGCTATGGCAGTGACTAGAGATGTGGCTGACATCTGCTGGGACGACCGGTTGATCGATCTTGAATTTGGGCACACGAGCGGATCTGCGCTTGCATTCCCGAGTCAGAGATTTGCAGGCTGGTGGATAGAAATGGGAATGCGAAGGGTGGAGATGAGGAGCGTGTCCATTGGAGGAAGCTGATATTTGAGATGAGTGCTGCGGGATGGTTTGTGGGGAAGCCTCACAAAGGGTTAGGTTTTTGGGGCGCTGGATGACCACTATGCGCTCATCAAGAGGAAGGGGAGGCATCTGGGTTTGTGCAAAGCTGTCCAATGAAGACAGAGAGAGAAACAGAAAGGGAAAAATTAGGAAACGATTGTAATTCACAACAATTTATATAATATACACACTGGAAATGTGGTACACTTTACATTCCATCAGTTTAGATAAAACTGAAAAATGAACAGACATCCAGCTATTCAATATTAATATAATAGAGTGCATAATTTGGAGTATAGTTGTGCTTTGTATTAATATAGTACATCACACTTTTGTGTAATTGAATGTAAAAAGTGAATTATTTGTGAAATGTAAAGTAAAACCCCAAATCCACCACAACACATTTTTTTGTGTTTTGCAAAATGTCCTCATATCTTGGATGTCTTTCGCAAAACACATAACTACAAAAAACAACTAAACACAACAAATACCACCAACGGCAACAATATTGCATTTCAATATTATTTCCTCTCACAACCGCAAATGAAAGGAGAATTTATATAAAGAGAAAACCCACTGAGGTGCATGTCTGATTTGAATGGATAACACTGTAAATCATTACGTTTGCCAATCCATTTCAACATGCACATCAAAATCTGTAAACTGCTTATACCAGGGCCCTTTACCCGGCTTTAATGCTCAACTTTATTTGTAGGACTCTGACTGTCAAATTTCAACAGTTTCCCAGTAATATCATTACTAGGTACAAGAGTGTGTACCTGTTTGCTGTTAGCAGCACATAATCCCAGCTAATCCTGATGGCACTGCCGCTTTTAAAAGCTCTGCCACGAAAGCTGAAAATGAGCTGCAACAACCTTCATCACTGAGTTGCCTTTCTTAAAAAGACACATAAGATAATAAGTTAAGTCATGGCTGTTAGGAAAAGAAGGTTAATATACTTTACAACATGAACTGAACAGTGCATGTTTGCTGATCTTGATGTTTTAAAAACAACAAGCCTGTATATTAAAATGTTACTGTGATACAGTTAAGCCCTTAACATTGACAGTGTTTTACATTGCTGCATTTGCACTTAAAAACAACCCACTGCCTCTCTAAAGTAGCTTTTGGCTCAGTGGGATTCTTCACTGTGAAGACTGTTTAATGCAGGAGAACTAAAATGCTTGCTGCTCCCAGCCATCTGTTTATCCTGCCTCTGGAAAAAACTAAATTAACCAAATCCTTTGGGCCAATTAGAAATGAGCATTTTTGTCCAGGCCTTGGTATAAACAGAAGATCGCAACACACACAATAATATAACTCAGCTAGAGAGAAAGCTGTCTCACCATGACACAGCAAAAAGAGATGAACTGAATGTAGTTAATAAATATGCACTTTGTAATACAATAATTGTATAATTTAATTGCCTTTATGATTAATGTCTTTAATAACAGGTAACTACTAAGACTTTAGACTTTACATTTTTTGATTAATTCGGTACATTCATTATAAAGCTGCTCTCAAACGTTAAGTGGAAAAATTGCTATCGTTAATGCAAAAAAATCCTCCTCCTGGTTCACACACTGCTAAAAACAATCAATCTGAGATGTTCAGTGCACCCAACAGTCGTTTGGTTGATGAAGTGCTTTAATTTGGTTTTTGCCGACCTACTGCTATGGCTGCAGGGTGGCTATACAAATGGAATGGCAGGATGTTAGCATGCTAATCCCTGTTGAGAAACAGTAATGTCATGCTTTTGTTGATGTGAACTGTTGACATCAAATAGTCCATTGTCTCCAGCTCCATTACATTGGATGGAGATGGACGTTTCTAATACAAATCAAACGCAGCACATTTGCATGGCAAGATACCATGAGTATAAGTAAAAAAAAAAAAAGTAGTTTATGTTGTGATTTAAATAAAGTTACAATCTACAAAATATCACATAACATTGTTTGGATTTTGCCACCAAATAAACACACTTGTAATTGCATTAAACTTCAGGGTGGATTTAAATGTTTAAAGACTAGTCATATTTATTGAGAATCTCCCAGGGAGTTGAAGACCAAAACAACTGGGAGGAACCATAGACTGTGGGAGGAACAGATACTGAGGACAACACTGGCTGACAGATACAAAGTACAGACACTGTACACCATTGACTACAGGGGGTGACGGTACATGTCAAAATAATCTGGGGATGCCTTCAGTCCCAGCACAACACACAGATACCGACCCATGGAGAACCACATTCCAGTGTCCCCGTGCTTACATCCTCGCACAGAGTATGGTGATGGTATCCTCATCTTTTTTTCCTTTTTCAGCTTTGCCTGTGGTGGAGGGGGTGGGGGTTACATTGACCCAGTTTTATCATGGTGGAAGTCACTATCACTCTGATCACTTTTCTCTCACACACTGTAAACTGCAGGCTGGCTAGTGGCCTTTTCACTCACTCACTCACAGCTTCAGCAGACAGTAAAGGCCACACAGAGAGAAGGGAAACACAATAACAAGAGAGGAGCCTTTTTGAATTTTCACTGCCACATGTTGACATAATAACTCATAAGTTTAAGACAAGGCTGAAAGCATTACACCATCTGATGAGCTATGGCGACGGTACACTTTTCTGTGTTGGCAGCATACAGTCAGTACAACATGTTTAAATGAGGAACAAAAATACAAACATTACAATGATTATCTTAATCTGAGAAATCCTTTTGTTTTGACATTTCTTCTAATGTTTTTATGGTTAACTGTCTGGTGCATGTATCTACTTGTGCTAGGACTGCATCCGTACTTTTTACTCTGTTATTGTAGTATGCTTTTACAGGCAGAATAATTAACTAGTTTAGATTAGGACATCAGAAAATATAATTTATGACACATAAATATGTAGTGTCTGGTTGGGGGAACTTGTATTATTTCAGTTGTCAATTGTGAAAGTAGAATTGGGAATACAGGAGTTTTTCATTGATGTATTTTTAAACAATGCCCATTTTCAAAATACATGTTATTCCTCTGGTTTAAGACGGTCCTCAAATATTAGTCATCTCACAAAACTCTCACTCAAATCCACAATCTTAAAGGTGTTAGAGATGTTTTGATATATAAAAGGTTGGGACTTCTTCATAGACAATGAACTGTAAAAGATGTTACAGGTGAGCAGCCAGGGGTTTTACTGAGAACACGTCAAAGCAAAAAGCTCACTTGGGTATTAAACAATGAGTAAAGCATTGTGTGGATCCAAACAAATCAGTCTCCATTGATTGTCAATGGAGCAGCTCTAGACCTTATACTTGATGACATCACACGTTTGAGACTTACTTCTCTTGTTTCCAGCTTTGAGAGAGAGTAGCTCATTGTGAAGAAGAAGCTTTCATCACAGTTGGCATAGGGGCATGGTAAAAGGCACACTGAGGGAAACACATTAATAACTTAGCTGGACATTGATCAAATAAAACCCAAGTCATTGTTTGTTCAAGACAGATTCATTTGAAGTCATATATAACTAACCCTAACCCTTTGCTCAATCAGTGGAAACACCTGTGCTCAATTGGAGCATGGGTGGCAATTTTCTTCCAAGTGTAAAAATGTTATTGTTTAAGGCTTTTGTAGTCAGAAATATAGAATATGTTGACCTATTTGATTTATTGTGTTTAAATAATTTGCCTTACATTTATTTTGAATATGTTTGTAGATAAGAATAACATTAATTAAGGGTATAAATAGTGGATTGTCCTATGGGGAGGGGCTTAACATATATAAACCTCTGGCCACAAGTGTTTTGAGGTTAGTCTGACTGTAGCTGTAGAGCAGAGAGGTACCAGTTATATGTCCTCGACCTGTACGTATATATTGAGGTTTGCTTTCTGTAGATCCTTGTTACTTGGTGTTTTTTCAGCATTTTCTCTGTTAATAAAAGCACCTAAGGATACATTTTTTTGTGACTCTAGCCATCTTATTTAATTCCTAGTTTTTTCATCTACCCTTTTTGTAACATATGGTGTCAGAAGTGGGATGGCCAGTCGCAAAAATGGACGCATTCTTAAGAAACGAACTGGACTACGCTCAGCGAAAACCTTTTATGACGAAGGATGAGGAGTG